GGGAAAAGGATTGCAGTATGACCAGCCCCTGTTGGGGACTGCTTTTTCTCTACTTTTCTCCCTTTGTTGCCTCCCCCCACCTCTGGCATGAAAAAAAAAAAATCTCCCCATAAATTACTAATTAATCACATAGAGAATAATAGTACTTTTTACAAAGGCTTAATCATATAGCAGATACCATCTTAACCAAAATAACCAACTTTGTTATAAAAATTATAACACTACCTGGAACCAGATGGTGGTGTAGGGTAGTACAGCTGGACCCCAAGAGAAAGGTCCAGAGCTAATACCCCGGAACCTACCTGAGCATGCCGTGTGTGTGTGTGTGTGTGTGTGTGTGTGTGTGTACGCACATGCATACCTGTGATTCAGGCCAGCCAAGACTCGGGGTAGATCACAGCAGACTTTCTTGGGGGTGCCTGTCTCTCTGTCTCTTTTCTCTCTGTTCCTCACAAAAGAGAAAAATAAACTAAAAAAGAAACTCCTTAAATAAGCTTTTATCACTAGTAATGGAGCAGATGCATCCTTGACATCATGTGTTGAGAGAAACACATTTCTTCTGAGGTATTCCTGCCAAAACATATAGCCTGAAACTAATTCGGAGAAAATAACAAATAAACCAAAATTAACAAACATTTTACAATATAACTAGTCTGTACAAAATATCAAGATAATAAAAGACAAAGAAAGGCTGAGAAACTATTTCAGATTATAGGAGAAGAAAGAGATAGAGCGACCAAGTATCACATGGGATCTGCATTCTATCCCAGTCAGGAGAAAAGAATAAAAAAAACTGTACAGGACTTTATGAGGACAGACTGTTGGCTAAGTTGAAATATAGATTATAGTTTAGATAACAGTTTGTATCGTTGTGGAATTTCTGTATCTTGATAAATGTTCTGTGATTATATAAGAGAAAAATTCTGTTCTTAGGAGATATATATCAAAGTATTTCTAGAAAAAGTGGTATTAATCCTAAAGAAATAGATTGTGTGCTAAGGTGAAAGTACTGAATTATTCTTGCTATGCATGGTAGCAAAAATTTGGAAACAACTTAATATCTGATAATAAGGTGTTGCTTAATAAATTATGGCACATAGGGGCCAGCAGGTGATGTGGTGGTTAAGGTGCTGGACTCCCACGTGGCTGGCTGCGATTTGAGCTGGTTCCAGCCCTCGACCCGAAGACTTGAAAACCACGCTGGGTCTGTGTGCATGCATGCTCAAAATCCTGAGAAGAATGGAGGAGAAGGGATTGAGGTGTGACCATTCCCGTGGGAAGTGATTTCTCACCCCCACCCTCATCTGTGTCTGATGAGCACATGGACCTATGGCAATGTGTGTGTGTGTGTGTGTGTGTGTGTGTGTGTACGCACATGCATACCTGTGATTCAGGCCAGCCAAGACTCGGGGTAGATCACAGCAGACTTTCTTGGGGGTGCCTGTCTCTCTGTCTCTTTTCTCTCTGTTCCTCACAAAAGAGAAAAATAAACTAAAAAAGAAACTCCTTAAATAAGCTTTTATCACTAGTAATGGAGCAGATGCATCCTTGACATCATGTGTTGAGAGAAACACATTTCTTCTGAGGTATTCCTCCCAAAACATATAGCCTGAAACTAATTCGGAGAAAATAACAAATAAACCAAAATTAACAAACATTTTACAATATAACTAGTCTGTACAAAATATCAAGATAATAAAAGACAAAGAAAGGCTGAGAAACTATTTCAGATTATAGGAGAAGAAAGAGATAGAGCGACCAAGTATCACATGGGATCTGCATTCTATCCCAGTCAGGAGAAAAGAATAAAAAAAACTGTACAGGACTTTATGAGGACAGACTGTTGGCTAAGTTGAAATATAGATTATAGTTTAGATAACAGTTTGTATCGTTGTGGAATTTCTGTATCTTGATAAATGTTCTGTGATTATATAAGAGAAAAATTCTGTTCTTAGGAGATATATATCAAAGTATTTCTAGAAAAAGTGGTATTAATCCTAAAGAAATAGATTGTGTGCTAAGGTGAAAGTACTGAATTATTCTTGCTATGCATGGTAGCAAAAATTTGGAAACAACTTAATATCTGATAATAAGGTGTTGCTTAATAAATTATGGCACATAGGGGCCAGCAGGTGATGTGGTGGTTAAGGTGCTGGACTCCCACGTGGCTGGCTGCGATTTGAGCTGGTTCCAGCCCTCGACCCGAAGACTTGAAAACCACGCTGGGTCTGTGTGCATGCATGCTCAAAATCCTGAGAAGAATGGAGGAGAAGGGATTGAGGTGTGACCATTCCCGTGGGAAGTGATTTCTCACCCCCACCCTCATCTGTGTCTGATGAGCACATGGACCTATGGCAAAAACCTTAAAAACAATTATGGCACATTCATACAGTGAAGTGCTGTGCAACCCTCTAAAATTATGTTTTAGGTCTGTATTTACACAGTGAGACATTTCCGGTTGTCTCAGTGAAGGCTTTTTATTTGCAGAAAGCAGAAGCCTGCTCAGATTACCTTTAATGGCTGGTGTAGGTCATAGGACAAAAGGAACAGCTGAGAAATCTCTAGAAAGGGTAAAAGATCTCTGGGAACTTCAAGCTTAAAATGTGAAGACCTTCCTTCTTTCTAGGGCACTGTCCTTAAAGTGTTCAACTCTAGTACTTGCAGTTTCTTAATTCAGAGTTTACAAATAAGATTTTTTTCCTTTAATTTTTTAACTTGCTAGAAGGCAAGTATGCTCGCTAAAGAGATACACAGAGAGGGAAAGTGAGAAATTGGAATTTGGGGTACACACATGCACAAGCTTGGCATGTTTTCCAAGCCTCCAGGTCTGGTACTCGAACCAGGAATTAGGCCATGTAGAATCCAGCCTCCTTAACCGCCATACCACCTGCTGGCTCAACTTGATTCAGAGTTTAAAAAAAATTTTTTTTAAGAATGATTTTATTTAACTTTATTTTATTTTATTTATTTAATTTGACCACATAGGGGTGGAGTGAAAGAGTGAGAGGGAAAGTAGGAAAGCAGGAAAGCAAGCTGCCAGGTCCAGGACTCGATCCAGGGTCAGCCATGTAGGAGTCCAGCACCCTTAACCACCAAGCCACCTGCTGACCCCTCAGAGTTTAAATTTAAGGGAAAAAAAAAAGATCTGACTGATCCATTGTTTTTAAGGGTCACATTTACATAGCACAGTGAGGCCTGGAAGGATGGCTTGCATGTAGATTAGGCCCATTCCTAGACAAAGGGAAATTGTTGTGAACCAGGAGGCTACCTCCATTGTTATCTGTCTCAGTATGATTTTTAAGAGTTAAAAATACACACACACACACAGACACACACCAGAATACAAAATCCTGCGTATAATATGGTCTTATTTTCTAGAAATGTAAAATGAATTTTAGGGTGGGCCTAGAGAATTAGTCTACTTGGATATGTGAATTTTTAGAATCCTATTAGATATTCTGGTAGAGAGCTAGATTCTTTTGTGGCCAAAGTGGCAAATAAGTAACATTTGCCCTTATTTTTTCTAGATCAAAATCAACCCTTCTGTTCCTGTGGCATAGAATTGAAGGGTCTCAGCCAAGTTTTCTTTTAGACAGTTAAACAAATCCCAAGCTTCTTTCTATCAGTATCCTCCCTCTAGATACCTGCTCAGCATTCACCCCATTTAGAGGCCGGAGTCCCTGCTGGCACTAATGCATGTTAGACTCTACTCTCCCCACCTCCCGTACACATCTTGGTCAACTTCTTTCTGGTATGTTAAGCAATCACAAAATCATTTCAGTTCATTTTACTGCTCTGTGAAATTGTTCTTGACTTCTTTCTATTTCTATTTTATTTTAATGGTATAAATCAAATGTTTTTAAAAAGCTCCTAAACACCTCTTTTACCTTTTCTAACAATTGTGATAGTGATAGTTTAGCCCACAGTGGTAAGCACTTTACGAGCAGGAGCTCATAACCACAGATGTTTCATTTTTCAGATATCCACACAGAAGCTGTTCAAGCTGCACTGGCAAAGCATAAAGAACAGAAGATGGCTTTGCCCATGCCGACCAAAAGGCGGTCCACGTTTGTCCAGTCTCCTGCAGATGCCTGCACACCTCCGGGTAGGTTTATCAGTCTGTTCTCTCTGAACGTTATGACCCGATGTTCCTGAAAGAAGTTCTGCTTTTTCTTTTCTGAAGTGGGAGCTGGAACTCTCTCTGCTTCATCAAAGGAATATGGGAGCACACTCTGAAAGTGGCATGTTCGGGTTGTCACCTCATGAACAGAAACACGCAAAAAAGCTATTTTACAATAAAGCTATTTTAAGAACAAAAACTTTTCTTCTGAATTTGCAGCATTTCCTTGCTGTGGCTAACTAGCTGTTTTCATTGTCACCCAAAATGTGACCTGCATCATCTATTTAACTCATGCTCCTAAGTCAGATGCTTTATCTCTGCAGCAGTCACAGAAAAAGGTGGAATTGGGATAAAATTGTGTGTCATTGAAGATTGTGGGAGAGGGCTCATGCAAAGTTGTAACAGATCTGAAAAACGTGTGTGTTTGTGTGTGTGTTAATATATTTTGTATATGTTTGTATTTTTTTTTTAAGAATCTAAATTTATAATGGAATCATGAGATCTCTAGGAACTAGCTGTTTTCATCCTATCCCCATTCACCAGACTTGGAATCCTTACTCCCTCAAACTAAATTTAAGAGTTAGAACTTTCTACTGGAGGAACAACTGGAACAACCTTAAATTGTCTTGTCTTTTCAGAATCTTTCCCAAAGTTTTAAAAAAACCTTAAAGTTGTCTTTTTTTTTTTCTTAATAGTAGATTCCAGACAAGATCTTAATATAGGGCTCAGAGCCTAAACATAGTAAATCTATTTCAGAGCCTCAATATAGTGTTGCCACCCTACTGTTAATGTTACTGATAATAACATCTTAGGGAAAAAATTTTCCCCACACTGTTTTAGTCTAAACTACTTATTACCATATCTTTGGGGAGATTCCCAGGAAGGTTGCCTTGCTGTCCAATCATTGAGATATTATTCATACCGATCCTGTTAATTGACCCAGATTCATATTAATAGTTTTCTCCCAGGTTTCGGCTAACTTCTCATTTGGGTGTGCTGTGGGCTTATTAATTGTGTGTGCTTTTATTCTTCACATATGTGGTGTCAATATGTTTGAAAGAGAAATAGCTCTGTGGCTTCAAGTGTTCTCAAAATGTAACACAGGATACCTCTAGGAGACCATTGCAGTAAGACATTTTGTGTTTATAGGGATGCATACTTCAGGCCCACTCATCCACAGTCTTGGATGATTTCCCTTCCCCAGTAGTACAGTACAAGTTGCGTCCTGCTGGACAAAGGGGGCTCTCAGTTTAGTAGCCATTCCTTGTTGGCAGATTACAGTGCAGCGAGGCTGAGGGTTCAATTGTAGTAAATGGCAAAGGGTAGGGAGCAGCAGTCCTCTCCAGAGCCGAATTAAAGAAATGCAGTTTTTTAGTAAACAGGCTGCCCTCATGGCTTCGGGTTAAATGTGAGAGTGCAGCAAAGGATCTTGAGAATAGAGTGGAAACCTTTTTTATCCCCTTTTATAAAAGTCACTGCCTGAGGGGAATTTACCATCTCTAGAAACAAAACGCAGCCTTCGATTGCTGAGTGAAGCCATGGTCTTTTGGAATTCACTGTAAGCCTCTGTACTTCTAAACTCTGATGTTCTACTCTGTCTGCAGCCTTGAAGATGTGCCATAATGTTCTTGATCACCTTACATATTTTAAAATGTTATCTTTTCAGAGATATTGTCTTCTCCTAAGACCTGTATTCAGCAGAGCAGAGTAATAAAAAGGTTACCTTCCTATTTATCTCCTGCTCTGGGGCTCTCTGAGTAGTATTTGAGAAACCTTGATATGCTGTTAGAGACAAGTGTGTTTTCAAAGAGAAGAGGAATTGTCTCCCAACAAGAGGAAAGATTGAGTGCACCTAGTGCAGTGATTTCTCAGACAGCCCCCGCGTGGGTCCTGATGCTCTCACTCCGCAGTTACGCACATGCCTAGGACAAGTGTGAGTGAAATGTGGGGAGAACTGTTTCAGACAGCTCCCGTAAGCACCGCGCTTTGTTGTGGGGGGAATTTGCTGTTCCCACGTTAAGATTCAGATTCCTTTCCCTCTAAATCTCCAGCTGGGCGACTCGACTGTCTCCTATTCCTACTGTTCAGGCCTCTACCAGTATCTCCCAGTATGTGTTACAGCCTAACCGAAGATGTCAAAGAGGTTTTATCTTACATGTTTACTCTGACAGCCACCCTCCCTCCAAACACTGAAGTTTAGAAGGATGCTCAGGATGTAGTCAAGGAATGGAGAGATGGAAAAGAATTAACATGAATCATTGCATGTTATCGGGCAATTTTTTTTTTTTTAAATTGTCTTCTGGCAAACTATAAAAATACCTAAAAAAGTTGTGCCACTCCTGCTGGGAAAAATTAACCTATCATTTCACAACATCTTGGTTATGCCTTCCTTTGTACACTATCTGAGATCTCCCATCACAGATCTCAAAGCACATTTCACAGTCAAGGCCTTCACCGTGCGCATTGTTGGCCTGTGTGGACCTGCTTTTTGGGTTAACTCCTAAAGTGCACTGGCCAGTCAGCTTCTGTGGAAGACACTCAGCACATTAACTATTTTAATTACTGAATTGATGCAAATGTAGAGCTACTTTTGGAGAGATTTAATGAAAAGGATTTCAGAAGTAAAATATGTCCTAAATCTTGGCTTGGTTTATAATATCATATAGTCTGGAAAAGACAGTAAATAATTGGCATTGGAGGTAATTTGTCTTTTGTTCATAAATTACTCTCAAATAATAAGATTCCAGTCGACCTAAATTTTGCTAATTGATGTGTACACCAATTTCTGTCTCACGGATTGAAAAATTCAAATTCTTAATAAGTTGGTAGCAATCTGTAGTTCTTACAGTGTTTGTGGTCTTTTTCAGTGTTTTAGACTCTTGAATTACTGCCATCCAGTTCCCTTTATGTGCTGAAATCATTTACTAATGTCATGAGGCAATTACCTCAGCGCTTTCTTTGTAGGGGTTCTTTGTGTAATGCTATTACTCATTCATACAGAAGAACACAATGCAGAAACTACAGCATATATTTTTTTCCCTCTAAACTTTTTCTGCACCCTTGTGGACTTACCCTTTGCTGCATTCTGAGGGTTCACAGTTGACCAAATAGACCACATAATGAACCTAAAGTACAGTAAGCTGTTTTGACTGACTTGAGTAGAATGAGGCTTAAATTCCAACGTCTGTCTCATACAGAGCCCTGCTTGAAAGTGGCTATAGGGAATTCATGAGACCACGGGTAAGAAGAAATGTACCTCTCTGTATTTCTGCTTATGGAAATAATGCCCATGAGCAGATCTGGACGTTGTTATACTTTTAACATACTTGAACAGTGCCTTATGGCATTATAGTACAGTACAATGTGTAGGACTTCCACATACCAATGGCTGCCCTGCTTCATATGTTCCTCATAAGTCCTCAGTGAAGTAGGAAGTAAAGATTTTGTTAGAGGTGAGGAAACAGGTTCATAGTCACTACATGATTTGCCCCAGGTCAAGCAGCAATTAAGTGTCAGACTCCAGAGTCCTCTTGATTGTGTTTCTCACTCATGTTTAGGAAATCTTTTATACCTGAGAGATACTTAGATATGCTTGGTACTAGGATGGGTATTATTCCAAACAAATTATCTTATAAGAACTTATAGCTTAAAAAAAAAAAAACTTATAGCTTCATAGGTCCAGCACGTGTAATGGTTACATTGTTGGACTCCCACATAGTCAACAGTTATTCAAGTCCTGGACCTGGCGTCTTAAAACTCACACTGGGCATGTGTACATGTGTGACCAAAGTCCTGAGAAGAGACTAGAGGAGAAGGGACTGCACTATGGCCATCCCCCCGGGGGGATGATTTCTCACTTTCTATCTGTCTCTCACTCTCCAGTGAGTGTATGTACCCTATAGTAAAATTCTTTCCAAAAAAAGAATAAAAGAACTTATAGCCCCCAAATACGTAAAAGAGAATGCCTGATGAATTGCCAGCTTGGAGTTTTTTTCTCAAATATTTATATTCGAAGGGACAAAATAAACAGAATTGGCAAATGAGACTTTTTTTTAAAGAAAGATTTTTCCTATAGGGCGTGTGTACTTACTGAAGAAACAGAGATAGAAAGTGAGAAATCACACCCCAGAGGGATTGGTTATGTCACAATCCCTTCTCCTTCATTCTCCTCTCGGGATTTTGGTCATGCACACATATGTGCCTAGCGTGAGTTTTAAGACACCAGGTCTGGGACTCGAACTGCAGTCAACTACATGGGAGTCCAGCTGGTCCCCAGACTTTTTTTTTTTAAATAGAGGTTTTTGCCTTTGGGCTTATATGCTTCCCAGAGAGAGAGAGAGACAGAAACAGTAAGAGGTAAAGTGAGAAATAACTTCCCAAGGGAATGGCCATGCTGCAGTCCCTTCTCCTTCATTCTCCTCCTGGCATCTTGAGCACATGCATGTGCATGCACCCGACCTGAGTTTCAAGCCCCCGGGTCCAGAACTCAAACAGTGGTCGACTATGTGAGAGTCCAGCGATGTAACCACTACACCATCTGCTGGCCCCTACAAATCAGACTTTTTAAAATGTGTCCCAGCTAGTAGATTTGCATCATTTTATTAGCATATCTTCACTATTGGAGGTATAGGTTATGGGCATGGTCCACAGTTACTTGAGGGGACTGATGAATATTTGGTATTCTTGCAGCCAAAGCACAATAAAAACCCACTCTATCTGGTTGACTTTATTTATTTCAGTAGCTGATTGTGAAGTTTAAGGTCTGTCAATAAAAGTAATTTCATAATTATCGTGAGTACCCTCTGTTACCAAAGAGCCAAGAGCCTAATATGTGTTTTTCTATTTTTAGCTCACAGCAATCCTCTACCCCTTTTTTTACAGATGAGAAAACAGGTTTAGAGAAACTCAGTAACTTGCCCAGACTTCTGTTTCAAGAGTATGGTCAATAGATAGCCTGAAAATTCTCACCTAGAAACATGGAGAAA